ATATATGCACAATTCCAACTATCTTTTCTCTAGATGACACAACATAAATTCACAATCATTTCAAGAACACAATGAGGAGAAGGCTCCTAAACAACATACCAAAAGGATACCCCTTTTAAGTAAAGCTCCATCTTATCCTCTCCTCCAATCACTAACAAAGCAACAGAGGAATAAATTTTCTACTAGGTTCTAACATGTGGGTGATGGAAGAACACGGCATATTTAATTACATCAGAAATACCATAAATTCAACAGAGCAGAGTTGTATAGTGGTAATGCCCAGGACATTCTTAGCACTGTTCCTCTCCTTCAATCACTTATATTAGCATGGCACGAGATACAACAACAACAACAAGCCTTTATCCCACTAGGTGGGGTCGGCTACAGGATTGCAAGACGCCATTGTGCTCTATCATTTATTAAGCTTTTAGAAATATTATTAATTAGAGATCAGTTCAACAACTTCCAAGAGTGTTCTCTTAGGCCTTCCTTACCTCCTTAATCGGACTAAGTTATATGTTCCACTCTTCTCACTGGTGCCTCCTTGGTCTTCTTTGTACATGCCCAAACCATCTCAACCGATTTTTACCATTTTTCCTCAATAGGTGCCACCCTCACTTTTCACGTATGTGCTCATTTCGCATTTTATCTTTACGTGTATGTCCGCACATCCATCGTAACATTCTCATCTCTGCTACTCCAACTTTATGCTCTTGCTGTCCCGTTAGAGCCCAGCATTCACTACTATATAACATTGCCGGTCTGATAGCAGTACGGTAAAAATTTCCTTTAAGTTTATTAGGCACCTTACGTCACAAATAACTCCTTTAGCTTTTCTCCAATTAAACCACCCAGCTTGAATTCTATGTGAAATATCTCCACTGATTTCGCCATCATTTTGGATAATGGCTCCCCAAATATCTAAAATTTTTCCACTTGAGGTATAATTGATCTCCCAATTTTACTTCCAAATTATTTTCGAATAGTCCTTATCAAATTAAAAATAAGTTCCGGAGCACGATAATATCTTGAACAGATATAAGAAACATTTGGTTCTCCTTTCACCTGATGAAAAAAAAAATATGGATAAAATTTAAGCTGAGAAAACAAAAACTTCCATCATCCATCAACAGGCAGGCTTAATATCTTACCAGCACTTTTGCACTTCCAAAATCACAAATTTTTCAGCTGATGTGTATGAGGATTCACCTGATATGAGTGACATGCATTTGATTAGGAGTTCGTGAGGGGGGGGGGGATGCTGCAAGCACAAGCATTAAAAGTTGCATATATGCACAATTCCAACTATCTTTTCTCTAGATGACACAACATAAATTCACAATCATTTCAAGAACACAATGAGGAGAAGGCTCCTAAACAACATACCAAAAGGATACCCCTTTTAAGTAAAGCTCCATCTTATCCTCTCCTCCAATCACTAACAAAGCAACAGAGGAATAAATTTTCTACTAGGTTCTAACATGTGGGTGATGGAAGAACACGGCATATTTAATTACATCAGAAATACCATAAATTCAACAGAGCAGAGTTGTATAGTGGTAATGCCCAGGACATTCTTAGCACTGTTCCTCTCCTTCAATCACTTATATTAGCATGGCAGAGATACAAACAGAAAAAAAATAGAGACATCCCTCAGCCATTAGCCCCACTAAATTCAGTTGTTAAAGGGATTGACAATGAGCAATCCTCAGAATGACTGCTTTAAGAACCCAATACTTTCCTAAATATGGTACAAGTTTAAAGGAAAATCCCATGTATCAGTCTCAATAAGAAGGACCCTAAAACAAAACTGCCAGAGCAGGAAGAGTTAAAGGCAAATGTAGAAAATTCAAACAACACCAGCCTCCATAACTTAAAATCTGAAAAATGTGAAACAAGATTAGCGGTGCTCATAAAAATGTGAAATGGTAATCAAAATGGCTATAAAATGTAAACCCGGATCTATGAAACCATTCATTATAAGATAAGATACACTTCAGAAAAAAGTTCAAAGACATCACCAAATGATGAAATCTAATTGCAAAAATCTTTAAAGACAAAAGAAATCAATTAGTTCCTGCACATATATGAGGATGCAGTAAAGCCAAAACATTTCAACATAAATGACAAAGATTCAAATGGATGTCTCACAAGTAGATTCTGAGGGTTTGATGTCACGATGGCAAATTCCAATGCATTATGTATATATGCAAGTGCCTGCAAATCTGCAGCCAAGTTCGGGAAAAACATATCATGAATAAGCAAGAAAAAAAATAACTAGATTTGAAACTGTGCAGAATACATTATTGATTATTAAATTTTTGATTCCGCTCTGTGAAAATATTTTCCAAATGCAAACAACTGCATCTTCAACTATATTTTTCCATTTTTCATAAACCTCTCTCTCTCTCTCTCTCTCTCTCTCTTAAAACCAAAAAGAAAAAAAAAATTCTACATCCTTCCACTGACATCAATTATCACTATACGGATTCTCCTATAAAAAATGTCATGAGAGTTGTTCAAATGAGGCCATCTACGGCTAAGAAACACGATGATAAATAAAAAGATAGGGCTCAGAAGATATTAGATGCCTTTAAGGGACTGATTATATATATTGCAACAATATACTCTTATAGGGCGTTTGCAACTAGATACTTTGGGGAGCGGTAGTGTCTTTCCTGACTTACCTCTATAAAAAGCTAAAGCCTACATACCTGGTAAGTGTAAAGCTTAACATGTATTAAAGGCATTCTCTGGTTCATCCTGCTATAATTCCTTGCAATACGATTTACAGTCAGGAACATATTCAAGAACAAGATTCAAGTAAAGCTCTTCTTGTCAGTCGTTGAAAAGAAATAATGCTTGAGGGCAACAACCCATTTGGATGATCAAGCATTTGCATAATCTGCAACTCCCTATTTTTGTAGCGCTTGTCCTGAAGACCTTTTTAATGGCCACAATCTCTCCAGTTTCTCTGCATTTTGCCTGATAGAAGCATTATTACAAAGAAAAAAGCAAAATCAGAACATGGTAAATTAAAATCATGCATTTTCAAAAATACTGAGGGAGGGAAAACCATGTGCTCTGCCTCACTTGGAAAACAACACCAAAAGAGCCTGTTCCAATCACGTGCTCCGGAATATAATTGACATTCTGTGAACTTAAACAAAACAATTTTAGGGAAGTTATTATGGGTTGAACTGATTTGCATAACCGCAAAGAGTTTCCAGTAACCAAAGAACCAAAAAGGCTTCTCCTTCTCCTTCTCCCCCCCCCCCTCTTTTTACCTGCTTGGATTGGCCATTTCGACCACCAACGCTGGTTCTAATCACTTGTCCTGTTTCAGCACCCACACCATCAATTACGTCAGGCTCACTATCCTGCAACAAAAACAGAAAATAGTTACAGCTCGAAAGTGAAGCAAAAAACATGAGCTGCTCAAAAAATTGAAGTTTAAATAAAAGGCAGTGAATTTCAACTTTAGTGTGCTTTCGAATCAGGTGTCCTCACTGTACATGACTAGAAAAACCTCTCTAATGCCAGCAAGAGATCAATCACACAATATCAAATAGCCATTTGGGAGGGGACCCAAACTCATTTTTGAGTTGAGATACTTGATAGAAAATTTGAAGAAACAAAAATTGAATAAGAGCCAAGTTGAAAGCTACTCACTCTGTCCTCATCATGGTCCACCTTGTCCCTCAACCTCATCTCAAGCATCTCTCTCCCAAGCCCAATCCACCGAACTAGATGACTCTCTGAAACCTTAGCAGACCTGGAACTGCCGACCCCTCCATTTCCAAGGCTTGCAGACGCCATGGCTGACTTACGCAACTATTCCAAATGTCACTATTTGCTACTTCCGAATATTCTGCTCCGGTGCTACCAAATTCCACCAAGACACACTGCCAACCTACAAAAATTTATTAATAAGCCACTCAAATGACGAGGTGAAAAACAAACTGTGATGTCCATGAAAGTTTAAAATACAAGGGAAAAAACGCCCCGAAAAAGTTGATATAAAAACACAAAAGCAGCAATAAAGGAATATTAAATAAAATTTCAAAAAAGAGCAGCTTTTTTCGAGATTATCAGATCTAACCTTTTAAACATTCAAACCTCAAATCAACCCCACTTAACATCAATCAAAGCATAGATTAGACTAAATTCAATCAAGGAAACCCAAAATTCAAAAAATTCACAAATAATATCTATTCTAAGGAAGCACAAACTCACCTGCAAGCTTTCCTGATTCAATATCGAACCACCGCTCTTGCATTTTACCAAAGCTTCCAGTTTCCAAAATATGAATATCTTTTTTGTGCCTGAAACAAAAACAGAGAGCCGATCGAAGAGAGTGAAACTGCTTGCTCGCGATCCTATGAACCGTTAGATATTTCTTTACAATTTTTTTTGTTCCTAGGCCAGAGCTTTTGGGAGCGACAACCTGTTTCTCTACGAACAGTTTCCCGTGAGCTTTCTGTTTGTGTTTCTTTTATGATTATCGTTCTGATACATATCCATTCCGTCTTCGATTCTCTCATACCAACTACACGTATTGGACATGTGGACACAGGACACTGTATTATTATTATTATTATTATTTATTATTATTAAGAAGTTTGGTACGAACACTAGAGCTAATTTATTTCAAGACAGGAGTCCCCCGCCTTGCACCAGTTAAAATAATACAATCGGACAACACTTCTGGTATAAAATAAACTTACGCGTGTCAAATAAATTATCATCAATAAAAATAATATTTATATTAAGTGGAAGAGGAGAGGCAGGCAAGCAAGAGCGCCGTGGCCTCCCTAATTTTTTTAACCAGCAAGAGATCAATCACACAATATCAAATAGCCATTTGGGAGGGGGACCCAAACTCATTTTTTGAGTTGAGATACTTGATAGAAATTTGAAGAAGAACAAAAAATTGAATAAGAGCCAAGTTGAAAGCTATCACTCTGTCCTCATCCTGGTCCACCTTGTCCCTCACCTCATCTCAGCATCTCTCTCCCAAGCCAATCACCGAACTAGATGACTCTCTGAAACCATTAGAGACCTGGAACTGCCGACCCCTCCATTTCCAAGGCTTGCAGACGCCATGGCTGACTTACGCAACTATTCCAAATGTCACTATTTGCTACTTTCCGAATATTCTGCTCCGGTGCTACCAAATTCCACCAAGACACTGCCAACCTACAAAAATTTATTAATAAGCCACTCAAAATGACGAGGTGAAAACACAAACTGTGATGTCCATGAAAGTTTAAAATACAAGGGAAAACGCCCCGAAAAGTTGATATAAAAACACAAAAGCATGCAATAAAGGAATATTAAATAAATTTCAAAAGAGCAGCTTTTTCGAGATTTATCAGATCTAACCTTTTAAACATTCAAACCTCAAATCAACCCCACTTACAATCAATCATCAAGCATAGATTAGACTAAATTCAATCAAGAAAAACCCAAATTTCCAAAAATTCACAAATAATATCTATCTAAGGAAGCACAACTCACCTGCAAGCTTTCCTGATCAATATCGAACCACGCTCTTGCATTTTACAAAGCTCCAGTTTCCAAAATATGAATATCTTTTTTTGCCTTGAAACAAAAACAGAGAGCCGATCGAAGAGAGTGACCTGCTTGCTCGCGATCCTATGAACCGTTAGATTTTTCTTTACAATTTTTTTTGTTCCTAGGCCAGAGCTTTTGGGAGCGACACCCTGTTTCTCTACGAACAGTTTCCCTGTGAGCTTTTTCTGTTGTGTTTCTTTTATGATTATCGTTCTGATACAATCCATTCCGTCTTCGATTCTCTCATACCAACTACACGTATTGGAGCATGTGGACACAGGACACTGTATTATTATTATTATTATTATTATTAAGATTTTGGTACGAACACTAGAGCTAATTTATTTCAAGACAGGAGTCCCCCGCCTTGCACCAGTAAAATAATACAATCGGACAACACTTCTGGTATAAAATAACTTACGCGTGTCAATAAAATTATCATCAATAAAAATAATATTTATATTAAGTGGAAGGAGGAGAGGCAGGCAAGCAAGAGCGCCGTGGCCTCCCTAATTTTTTTAAATTTTTTTATATTATATATTTTTTATTAAAAAATATGATATTTTTATTTAAATTTCACTCCAATAAAATAATTATTTATTTTTTACTAATCCTATATTTTTATATTTATTCTTATTAAACACCTTACAATAAATATAAAGTTATTATCAATAGGAATACTTTTAAAAAAAAGACAATGATTACATCTTAAAAGATTAAAAATTTTTATATTTTTTAATATCCAGCTCCTCAAAAAATATTTTACATTTTTTAATAAAGGGAGTAAGTATTATATACTTTGGGCTCCCTAAAATTTATAAAAATTTATAATATATACATTTTATAATCTTGGCCTTCTTTATTTTTAAATCTTGACTCTGCTCCTACTTATATAACAATGTGTAATAAAAAATTATGGAAAAATTTTAACTAGGATCAAGATGTAATTTAATTACTAATAGGTCTTAAAAAATTTGAAAGTCAATTCAATTCGGGGGGAGTAAAATAAAAATAATTTCAATAATAAAAAGATCAAAGTACCCTTTCCTTGTCATGCAGAATCATTAATTGTTAATTTTCTTACTTCACTTATTAATTTATCAATATGAGTTGTAAATTACATGAATTGATATATTAATAATTATACAAGACTTGGCATTAGTTGCTCAATTACAAGTAGCAACATCAATTATTAAATTAGTAATTTTATTTGTTAATTTACTAATTAAATTAACAAGTAAAGTTAGCAAATTAACAACTAATGTTGCTACTTATTTGAGAAATTGATGTAATTTACAACTTATATTTATAAAATTAACAAGTGAAGCAATAAAATTAATAATTAATGATTCTATGTAATAAGTAAAGGGTACTTTTATTTTTTTACCATTAAAATTATTTTTACTTTAGTCTTCTTGGACTAAATTACAATTTTAAATTTTTTTGGGCCCATTAGTAGTTAAATTGTATTTCTAGTCCTTAGTTGAAATCCTTCCTTTGTACTATTTATAAATGTACCTAAAGCATTTTTTTTTTATTGTGCAAAGTTAAAGTAAAAGTGTTTGACGTATGATTAGATATTAATTATAAACACATCTCTTAATAATGATTTAAGTTTTAATTGATCACGTTATGACTTGTAAAAAACTAAATTATAATACTCCTTTCGATTTTTATTATGAGACACCTCCAACTATTTTATTGAAATTAAGGAAAGATGGTTAAATCATTAAGACATTAACTTTGTCCAAAAAAAATAATAAATTTCCTATTTTATTCATATTTAAATAAAAATTTTTAAATTTACATTACATTTTCTATTACAATTAATGAATTTAAATGAGAATAACATTAAAAAAAATAAATTGGCTAATACCTCATCAGATATCCTACATAAAGAACCATTAATTTTTTTTCTGAAAGGTGTCTTGTAATAAAAATCATGATGAGTATATGATAACTAGATTAAAAAAAATAAAGAAAGGATCCTTTTTGTCATAAACAACATAATATCTTTTATTATTGCATTGCAAAACAATTTTGTATAACTAATTTTAAAAAAGTATATATACTGATTTTATGAAAAAGTTAATATTCATCAATATTCCACTGGCTTCATTCAAAATATTATACTGATTTTACAATTCATAACTTTAAACGCGCGCGCGTATCTTGCATATTTGATCATTTTTTATTTTCAATGCTTGTTCAATATATATAATAGTTTTAGAAATTTTGATTAAAAATTTAAAAATGAACAAAAATAAATGTAACTGGTTCAATAACTAGTTTGACTGATTCGAAACTGATTTTAGATTGCTTCGTGGTCAAATTGAACTTGAGATTAGTTTCCATTCTCATCAACCAATTTGGTCCAACTTAATTCTCAAAATCAACAGTGTTAAACTCACGGATTTAAATAAATTTATGATAAAAATATAAACTTAAATTATAAATTTGTGAAATTTACCTCTATTAATAAATAATAATCAAAAATTTATTATCAAATAATTAGAGTATTAAATATTACCATAATTTAATTTAAATATATTTAAAATATAAATTATTAAAATTAAATATATCTACGTTGATAAATTATTATACAAAACATAAAAAATTTAAAATAGAGAAACTTATTTTAATATTTTATGTTTTTTATTAATATTAGTTTTTATCTTTTAAGTTGTTTTTTCTTTGAACCTGATTCTATAACTTTTATGAACTAAATTTTTGTATACTTAACTTATTCAACTTAAAAAAAAAAAGAATGAGCTTAATAAGCTTACATCTAATATGAGTTTATGAGTTAGTTGACATGATTTTATAAGCTAAAAACATAAAAATGGAAATTCGGCAATAAACTCATGAGTTTAACAAAACTTGTTTCAAGTTCAAATTTATGAGTGAATTAACACAATTTTATAAATTAAAAATATAAAAACATTAAATTTAAAGAGTGAACTCAAGAGTTTAACAACTATATTTAAAATATAATATATAACATGTTAACCTTTAATATAAATAATACAATTGCATGCAATGATCGAAGTTGATAAACTCCCATTTATTATCAATTTCATTACTTCCACGGCTTTACAAGAAAAGAACGTGAGACAATGATATCAAAGATAATATACATGGGAAAAAAAATTTTAAGAGTAAAATAGCTTTAGGTTAGTGGATTTTTTTTTTTTCAATTTTGATAAAATTGTTTATTAGTGGCCCAAAGTCTGCTGAAAGTTTTCGTATCTATTTGTCTTTTATGAGTCAAGATTACATGATTGAGTCTTTGAATTTTTTATTTGTTATGCTTTTATTTTTAAAATAATTTAATAATCAACACTATAGCAAGCCACATGGCTCATTGGCCACACAAAGCACAATCATGTAAAAACAAACAAAAGATCAGGTTTTATTAAAAATTCCATTATTTTTTTCTCAAGTAGAATCATTCTCTCTTTGACCTCACAATATAAATTTAAAAATTAGAACAAAAGAAAATTAAAATTAAAATTAATTACAAGCTCAATTGAAATTGAAAATAGTACCCCAAGTGTATTTTGTCTCTTCATGACATAAAGCAAAGGAAATGAAATACGCTTGAAGAAGTAGGGTGTGCTTCTCGAGACCAAAAGTAATTAGGGGAGTGAGATTACTATTATTTGTCCACAATAATATAATAAATTAAAATTAAATCCAAACGCTAAGCCCACTAGATTAAGAACAAAGTCAAATTGTCAGGTTGAAACTTGAAGTAATTTAACTCCTTTTACTATTACATCTATAAATATTAAATAGAAATGATGTCCTTATTTTTTTTCTATTACTTTATTAAGAGTAAAATGACAATGTTATATTGCACGAATGATTAACTTCTTTAAATGAAAATAAGTTAGTGAAGATGTTACCAGGCATAAATTATATGGATCTTTTAAACTTATTATAGATTGGATCTAGATTCTAAGAATGTCCCAAAATCTCTCACTCGGCCACGCTACAACCATATGATTCATTGGCACTTGAAAATTTACACTTGACTTAAAATAAATTAAAAGGTTAGTTAAATGGAATTATATGAGAGAATGTATTTCAATTGTTTCCCTACAATTATATGAACATGGATCAAGGCATATGGTATATCAAAAGGTAGATTATGATTTTGTGTTCTCCCTGTATTTTATGTCAACATCTCCAACAACTATTTGATTGCATAATGATTTTTATAGTGTCATGTGAGACACTCACTGGGTGAGAGGATTTGGGGCACTTAGCAAACTTGAATCTAGATTTAATTATATGTATTTACCAATGATATATGAACCAAGTGAAATGAACTCAATTATCCTAAATAAAATCAAAATTTTAAAATTTATGAATGAAAAAATTATTTCAAATAAAAAATTTCACATATGTCATAGCTTAAAGGAAAACTTTCTCTGCCTTATAATCTAGAGCACTCTTTTTTTTTTATATCAAAAAGAATTTAAATTCAAAATTTTAAAATTAAACTAAATTGTATATTATGAAAATAAAGAGCACAATGTCTATTGAAGTTAGAAAAAACTCGTAAAATATATATAAAACTTCACCAACACAATTTGACTAGGTTAACATGAATTACTTTTCCATTGAATGATGATGTCCACAAGTACGAGCTGTGTCTTCAATTTTTGAAAGAGTGGGGACATGCATGTGCGCGCATGGACAAAGAAAAGGTCCCTGTGATCTGACCATATAACTACTAAAGTACTGTTTTAACATCAACTACACAATACTAAAGAGAGGAAAAAAAGGGGCAAACTTGAATGATAGAGACAGACACATTCAATTCATTATTCTTCCTATTCCACCTCTCACATGCATATGATTCACCTCATTTTACTTTTGAAAAAGATCAAGATGACCCTTTTGGTTTTGATTTGATTCACTTACAAAATATGAGTTGAGAGTTGGTAGGTCCAAGTTTTTCAGTAATGGCTTGATTTGATTGAGTTTTGAGTCCCAATGTGAGTAGGTCCAGATTTGTTAGAAAGAACATTGGTTCATTTTGATTTTGTTTGAGGTACAATAACCAACCAAACCAACCAACGCTCCTAATTAGATGTGATATCAGCACAAGGAAAACTTAGCCTCTTGTTTGGTATTTTTTGTCGGTGGAAATTATTTTTTTCCGTTGCAAATATAAATATACTGTTTATTATTTTCTAGTTACAATCATCATTCCCTTTTTATGCTTATGTACTCAATGACATGAATATATTTTTTTAATCGAGAGGTTTAGTCCCCAAAACATCTAAGTTTATACATCAAGTCATAACTTACTAATGGCCACCAATTTTCCATAGTTTTTCAGAGGATGAGTTGATCAGCAGTGCAAGAAGTCGAGAACAACTTTCTTTTTGGCCTTTCCTATAGACAGCTTAGCCAATTAGGAATGTACAGCAGCACCCATAGGGTGTACATAAATACATCAATAGTACAACATGTGAAAAAAGAAGGGAAAATGATGGCACAATAAAAAAACTTCATTGATAGATTGTAAGAGCAAATGATTGCTGGCCTATACAACATTTTGAGATGAAGTAATGCTTAAGGAGTTGAAACTTTGCTCAAAGATGATTTCATATTCCAATTGCATCAAGCAACTCTGAATGTTGAGACACCGAGACCAACGAATTTGCGACAATGGCACCACTAGCAGCAACTGCCGGGACTCCAATGCCAGGAAAGGTGGAGTCTCCACAACAATAAAGCTGTGGTATAGGGGTTGAATGTCCAGGAAAGGTACCTTTACCAGCTTCTATAGCTGGTCCATATGTCCCTCTGTTCCTCCTAAGAAACCTTCGATGTGTTAGAGGACTTCCCACCAACTTTACTTCACACTTGTCCCGCCTAAAACCCGGACCAAGAGCGCGTTCCACAGCTCTCCACATTACCTGGCAGATAAGAATGAATCAAGCTAGTTAAAAAAACAGCTTGAAAGTATAAGAAAAATAAAATCCAGAGCAGATATTTTTTTAGATCACTAGAATCAAGATCAAGTTATGGAAACAAATAAAAGCAGGGTTAATTGAAGATGATTATAGGTGGTCTAGGTCTAGGCTAGCTCATGGGGGATTAAGATATTTTGTAGTAGTAAATATAAGAGAGTGATAAAGAAGAAATGGATGTATGGGACCTACTTCCTCTCGTTTCACCCATTTCTATTTCTTCTACTTGTCTGAATACCACAAATACAAACCTTACATAACTGTTGAATGCAGAGAATCTAGATCTAGTTCATGGAAATTATTTTATCATGAATTTTCGCTTTTTTCAGTTGGATGTCCATTAAGTGGGCCTTGTGGGCTTAACTAGCTCAATTAGGGTTTTCAAAGAGTCTTCCTTAGGTTAGGATTATTCTTTACACATTTAAAGGCACATATTGTAAACTATTTTAGAAAGAAAGGGAGAGTTAAATGAAAATTGATTCCTTTGCCCATTTAAAGGCACACATTGCAAGATACTTATGGAATTGTGTTTATGGTTGAATAAAAGGCATTTTATCAAGAGATTGATCTCCTCTTATGGGTGCCATTCTTATAATTAGGGGTCCTAGAACAAGTTCCCTTAGGGTTCTAATTTTTTGAATTGCTTGTTCTAGATTCCATGGATTTGGCTTCCAATAATATTTTCTGGATTCCTAGGGCAGCAGGGCAAGTCGCCTAGTGAATTCACATCAGTTAGTTACAAAGTTTGAAGCTAGAAAATCTTCCCAGATTTCACGATGCAAAACACATAGAGACATATCACGTTTCACGTTACCTAGCTTCACAGGTCTCAGTATTTCTTTAGCTCTGCGTGGTTTTGGCAATCTGCTTAGTCTTAATAACTAAAGCTAGTCAATATCTAATCAATATCAATGACCAAAATTAAGTATACTCATTTTCAACTAGCAATGAGAAGAGTTTATCTAGGAGGTGCTTGAAGCCTTGAATGCCAATATCATGTTGTTAAGGGTTTGTTTAATCATGGCGAAACATTTTTGCAACTACAATTTTTTTTAATACAATTATCTAATATCCAATATTATTGAGTCAAATTCAAGTATTTTTTATCATTTGATTAAAATTTTCAAAAAGTGTTTTTAGTAAATTAATGTTCAGATTTTATAATTTCAGTTTGAGGATTTTTTACCTAAAAATATTAATTTATGCTACTAATCCTGCTTCTTCTTTAAATTGTGCTACCATTTAAAAATGATTCTCTGTTTTGTTTTTCTTAAAAAAAAATTAAAGAAGCTGCACTTCCCCCTTAAAATGAAGCCTTTTCTCTTCATGGCCAAACTGGCACTAGGTATATTCACATACCTCTGACCTTGCAGCTTTGAGATCTCTGTATTCAGCACTCCTGCGATCAAGCCCTTCCCACAAAGCAAACGGTTCAGTTCCAGGCATATAAGCATGCAATACATGTTTCCCTGGTGGCGCCAGATTAGGACTCAGCACACTAGGTACCGAGATCAACACAACATTCTGATCAGCATCAACTCCTCTTTCCCATTCATTTACAACTATGTGATGAATTCCCAGATCCTTACGTATACCCTGGTCAGTAGGACATCATAACAATGCTATCCCATTTGTTTAAAAGCTTCAATAGTGAAAAAAAGGAAACGAAAAGTAAACTAGGCTTTCAAATTGAAGTAGCAAGTTTGCAACTAGCACAAGCAATACCGCTGATTTATAAGCTTCAAGATATGATATGAATACTTTATGGTGTAACAGAAGTGAAGATACACCAATATACTAGAGAAGAAAAGCTACAGTGAACTAAAGTTTTCAGAACTATTAACAAGGCACATGGTCCTCGAACTAGACACATAAAAACACTAAGCACATATGGACCCTCCTCTATTATATTTGCTTATTCCCAAAATAAAAGAATCAGTTTATGATAATAGTTTCTAAAATGACAAACCTCGGCATCAAATCCTAAATGGAGATGCATGAATGATTCACATTGAGGAGTTGAGTTAATCCTGTCAGAGTATGACTTAGGAACAACTTCCTTAGGCAGCAATTTTAAAGTGTCCCACATTGATGCATTGCTGACCACAGCCTTTCTAGCACGTATGAACTGTAGAATACACATATCCACATCAATAAAGACTAAAATATAGATGTCAAAAAATGAAAGTTGATTTAACCCCCCTACTTTATGTTTTTTTCCTTCCAAAACATACTTACCTGACCACTTCTCAGCTTGACTCCAATGGCTCTGTCCTTCTCAACTACAATATTTTCCACATGACTTTCAAGAGAAAGCCTTCCACCAAACTTCTTAAGTCCTCGTACAAGGGCATCTACAATAGCAGCACTTCCATCAATTGGATATTCAAGACAACATCCTGGTTTGTACCATTCTGCGAACATGTAAATCTGGAAAATCAAAGAAAGAAATTGTTCGGACATTAGTAACAAATCCTGAGGCAAATGCTATGAAGCTAAGTAAACATATATACTTCAATAATTAAAGGATGCGCACAACTTCAACTATGTGCATCCTGTCAAGGATCACTTCATCTCAAAACTCAAAAGTTGTTAATTGTGAGTTCACGGATAGTTTTATTGTAATCTCTAAATATCACATCAAAGAACTTTAGGCTTGATGTGTGGGCAAAGTATAGGCCCACCATAACTTGTGCACGAACTAAACTTTAATTAAAGGAATGAGGGGTGACATGATGGAATTCTTGATCACATAATGATGAGGGCTTGATTTCATGTTAAAGACTGCTTCAAGTTAAAAGCTTGAGCTATTAAGTGGAGGCTCGTAAACAAATCATTATATCTTCCATATTTAACTATATAACCAGAAGCATGTTCATGAGCTACAATGGTTGTTTCAGATAAATGATATTCAGCAATTTTATATTTAGTTACCATCTCTGCTGAGAGTATACCATTAGATTTCACCCCAGCTAGCAAGAATGACAAGAGATCAACCCAGTTCCTTATGAAAGTGTCTTTCAGCTCTAATGAATCAATTATTTCTGAGAATGGTCTAAGAAGTTTCATTGCACCAATAGCACCTTGAGGTCCCATCTGAATAATAGATTTTAAGAGAGAAGGAGCATATCTAGCTCCTGCAGTGGAAAGAACACCCAAATCTCCTCGAATAGATAGAGGAGGAAGAGCCATTGCAGCTGCAGACAATGGAAGTATAGCATCCTGTCAAAGATATTTACATTTTGACATATGAGATGAAGCAAAACAGATTTCAAGCTTCTCATCTTTTGAATAGATATCTTCATAGAAGTAGGAAGAGTACTAGCAGAACTAACAAGAAGTTTCTTCCATTCTTTCACAGCATTGGGACTTGCATACCTCTCAAGGTCCTGAAAGATAACCACACAATGCATAAAAATTACGTTTGCCCATAAAAACTTATGATAAACCACCAAAAACGGCAAGGAAAAGATTAATAAATAACCAAATTATGATTATATTACTCTGTATAACATAACAAAAATATTGATAGATTTGAAATGCTTCACTTGGTAGGTATGGCACAAGAGTAAATTCTCAACAAGTAATACCAAGAAGTATAAGATCCACCAATTTAAAATATGAACCAAGCCCAAAAGGATGAAAGTTATGCATAATAAGATTTTATATTTTTTTCACCGAAGAAAAGAGAACACTAAAAAGGAATCAAGCATGCATTGAACGTATAAAAACACAGGTTACTAGTGGCAGAAAAACATATACCATTAAAAATTCACCTTGAAAAATTCTGTAGGTCCTATGCGTGACAGGAATTCACCTTCAGGGATGTAAACCATCCATGAATCATAAGTGGCACATGGAAGAGACTCACCCAATGCATCCAGAACCTAATCATAAAGAGAAGGGACCTCAAACTTAGGTGCTTGAAATTGAGCACAACCTTTAAGTCCAATCAATGTTTCAAGCCTAGGATAATTACCAATACAGATGCAGTAAAATACCATTAAGGTGAAAATTTGGAGATGTATTGTTGTCAGTCATCAATCTTAAAGAAGATGGGGTGGGGTGGGGCAACAAAAATTGAATTACCTGAGCAAGAGGATTCGCCTGAGGACCCCTTGATTGCAACCCAGAGAATAGAGATGGCCCAGAATCAAACTTATACCCTTTGATATCGAAAGAATGGGCAGCACCACCAGGTAGGTCATGGCTTTCTAGCACCAGCACATCTTGTCCGTATCTAGCCAAAAGTGATGCACAGCTGAGTCCACCTATACCACTGCCAATGACAACAACATCAGCTTCGGGCTTCCCTGAAATCCATCCCAAGTTCACGTTAGAAATGCCATTTTCACGTTCCCATTATTAATAAAATGAAGCTTTAGCCAACGAAAACAGCAAAGGTGGCAGTTCACACTTTGACGTTTGCTCTTGAAATAAGAATTAATCGCTGGCCAAAAATAATTATATTTCTCCCCATTTTGCCAAACTTTAAAATACGACACATAGCAGAGTGTTGAAACTTCATACTTTAAAATATCAAGTTCCTTAGAAATAACCAGATACAATAATGTAATGAACAGATTATCACATGCACCTAAGCCTTGCCCTTCATGTACATGGAGAGAATTTTCAACGAATACCCTTAAAAGAGATTAATGTTAAAACTTCCAAAGACAATACACTTGTAACCATGAAAAGCTAAAGGGAGATGATGGACAGCTATAGGTACACATTCTGGCTAAAGTCTTCATTCTTCTAGAATACAAAAGGAATCAAAACAACAAGAAAATCGCTTCCACTGAATGAGTATCACATAATAATGCATCATTCCCCTTTCTGGGTCAGCAGGGAATTACAGCACATTAGTCCCCAAGAAACAAAAACAAAAAATTTGGAAATTCACAGACATCTATCCAAAATCACCATGAAAATAAGACAAAAGGAATAAAGGAAAGTAAGAGACCTGAGAAGGAGTTATTTTCTTTGAGGGAGAGAGAAGCACCGGAAGAGAGCTCCTGGGTGTTGGAGCTTCGCGCCAAAACAGATTTCCTATTCGATGAGAACCTCAATGCGGGACTCTGAGGATTCAGAAATTTGACGAAGTTGGGGAAGACACCAACTGCCATGGCAGAACAAAATTGAAACGCCATGACACTGAAGACAGAGATTGGGGCCCCTTACTCTTGTGGTGAGATTGAGAGGCGAGTCAGATTAATGGCGAAGTGAATAATATTACATGCTGTCTGTGTAGTCTTGAAATTAGCCACGTCACTATGAAATTCATTTGTCATAATATCTTCCTTTTTCTTTTTCATTTTTCTGTTATTTACTGGATAAAATATATTAATCAAAGTGGGCAAGGAATATATTCATGACTATTCCCAATTTATAAACTGTGATAATTTTTATAGACATATTGCTTGATGGTGTTATTTTTTTAAGAAAATTAGTGTTACACTTACTTGACTAATTTAAATCAGGTTAAATTACTTCAAAAGATATTATTTATTTGGAAAAATTGCTAAAAAAGCCATGACCAGAAATTTAATTGCTAAAAAGGATTTGAAAATATTTTGGAAACAAGGTCATTCACTCTCAATAATTAATGAAGGTTAAACGACATAAATACTTTAAATGATATAAACAAATAAAAATTGAACAAAGTTTTTGCTGTCAATATATTATATAACATCATTCGCTATTAATACATCACAAGTCCTTGGCTGTCAATAATTAAATGATAATATATAATAAGGTTTTTTAGTGTTAATATTTTAATTAAGTCTTTCGGTGACAATTTAGTAAACCCTAAAGAACGAGGTCATTTAATGTCAATATATTATATGTAATATTTCTCTTATGATATATAAATAATCTTCCATGATATGCAGATGCTGCCTTTCTTTTACAATATGCAGCTGAACTTCATTAAAATGTATTTTTTTTTTGTATCTTTGAATATTCTTTGTTAATTTTACTTTTTAACCTTTGGAAGTATATGCAACATTTTTTTCACAACATTCAATTAATTTTTAACAAAATATAATTTTCTTTATATATTTGAACATCACTTATGTATATTTGAATATTCCTTATTAATTTCCTTCATGTGCAACCTTTTTTTTTATGACATGTGACTGATTTTCAATGAAATACAATTTTTTTTCATATATTCAATATTATTTATGCATATTTAAATATCCTTTGTTAATTTTCCTTGTGAATACCTTTGGAAGAATATGCAACCTTTATTCCAAGATATGCAATTAATTTTCAATAAAATGTAACTTTTTTTTGTATATTTGAATCTCACTTATGCATATTTTGGGAAAAAAAAAGTCTTAGTATCAAAATTTTACATAAAATGCACCTTATATTCAAAAATGTTTTTTGCATATTCTGAAAAAAAAATTCTTGGTGTCAAAGTTTTTTATGAAATGCACCTTATATTTGAATACACTTTCTACATATTCTAAAAAAAAAAAAATCTTGGTGTCAACATTTTACATGAAATGCACCTTATATTCAAATATACTTTTTAAATATTTCATTTTACATGAAATGTATGCTATATTCGAATATGCTTTTTGCATATTCTTAAAAAAATATTTTTGGTGTCAAAATTTTACATGAAACACATTTTATATTCAAATATGTCTTTTTGAATACTTTGAAAAAAAATATCTTTGGTGTCAAAATTTTACATGAAATGCACTTTATATTCAAATATGTTGTTTGAATATTCTAAAAATTATATCATTTTTTATAAAAATACCCATATATATTCTAAAAACATGAATAAATATTTTAAAATTTTTTTCATTTTTTATGAAAACACCTCTAGATATTTTGAAAACACTTATTGATTTTTTTTTCATGAAAACATTTATAATCACTACTATTATTTGTAAAGTTTATTAACACGAACTTAAAGTATCAAGAAAAATAAATGTTAAAGTGTATTCCTAAATCCAAACCTAGAATAGAACAAATTTTAAAATTTTGAAACAAATGAAGGATGAGAAAAAACAATTCAAAGAAAGCCTTATAATTTTTTATTTGACTAGACCATAGAAGAGAGTGACAACATACAAGCCTTAGGGTTCAAACTAAGAAGAGCATCATTCTTTACTCACTCTCCCACCATTTGCAAACCATGACCTCGACACCCACCACTGCCATAATCACCATTGGACTCACAATCACTTGGCACCACCATTAGAATTATGACTTGTTGCCCAAAACAATGTCAATATCGCTACAAAAAATTGCAGGGTAGTGAGAAAGAAGGGAAAGGGAAGGTATTTGGTGAGGGTAAAATCATTATTTTCACCTTCCAATTAATGACACTAAAGGACCTCATTGGAGAAACTTTTCCAAATCCTTCTGAGCAAATAAATATCTAGTGAAAGTCTTTTTTTAAACATTTTTTCTTGTTTACTTTTGCTAAAAATTATTAATGAAGATAGTTCTTAAAATTTTCTCTAGTGCTGGAAAGTACAAAACTAGCTGATTAAAAATTATATTATAGTTATGATAAAACACTTCTCAAAAACATATATTTAAAATACATGTTATTAGTTGAAAAAGGGTATACTAATTTCATTTACCCTTCTTTCGTCGAAAAAATGTTTTCAAAATCCTATCGATCATTAAATTTTTCTAACACCATTTTGAAGTTCAAAAATAACTATTTTAAGGAAAACATCATTAGTTTTTATTAGAAGTTAGAACTTTATCATCAATAAATCGACAAAAGAAATTGTATGGGAATTGAAATGCAGATGATGTGTAAAGTAGGCATTTATTATTTTTTTTACTGAATATTTTTTTTTTAACGGGCTACTTCTTCATTCAAATGTCATAATCTAATTAAAAAAGACAACAGGAAAAATACTCAAAAGCTTCCTCTTTGGATCTGGCAGACGACCCTAATTTTTGACGGCCGTGGCTTGCTAAGATATTTTCCCTCTTACGACCTTTTAGTTACAAATGTTAAACTAACTAATTTCTACTTTTCATCCTTTATATTTTTGGACTACTATACTTAAACTTTCTTTATTTTTAACATATTGGTCCTTTTTTATCAAAAAAAATTAAAAATTTAAAAAAAAAAACAACACAGAATATCGCGCTTGAGTTTACTACAACATCAGGCGTTAGCATACCTGACTAGTTCTACCACCAAACATTAATTTGAACCTTGAGTTCTATTATGCACAGGATGCATTGGCACAAAACACCAAAAAAGACTGTTGCAAGGATGCATATTCCCAAACAAATTAATTGAACATATAATGAACCAGCCACGTAACACAGCTATGTTCTGCTGAGAAATCCAACACCACACAACCTGTGTACAAAGGGTATATATATTCTTTTGGAGCCAAAATCAGGTAGCATCCACACAGTAATAACTTGTGCAACACCGCATCAATCCTTATTACCACACCAACCAACCACCTATAGTAATTCCCATGTCTAGCCACTACAAGAAACTCCATTCACATATCCTCAAGGCTAGAGGAGAGCCTACAAAATGGCCCTATGTGTTTCATCTCATCAAGTACTGAGTAGATATCTTCCAAAACTGTCCAGGGTTATACGCAGGCACTCACTTTGTATTTGGCAGACCAATGTTAATGTATATATATAAGAACTAAAAAGAACAGGCAATACACAATGCCCTGTTCTTATATTTACAATTCAACTGCAGAAGATGACCCATCTACAAAACCTGACTATACCCGTTACTCAGTCAAACTTCAAGGCTAGGCAAGTATGTATATCCATGAGTCACCAAGCAGGCAGCGACTCATCCACTACAAGGGGCATTTCATAATTTGTGATACCACCCTCGTTTCACTTCTCTCATTACTCCGGGCCATCTCCAATGAAGTTATGTTTGAAGGCTGTAGGTAACTCAAATGCATCAATTTGGATCAACTGTACTTTCCTCTGTTGTATTGAAAAAGAGCCTTTTTTGACCACAAACTCATTTACTTATAATTATCTGTCAACCAAAAAAGCGACAGAATCCAGCCACCAGCTAAAGATGCTCCAAAAATGTAAGTCAGCATGCTTTTCTGAAAGGAAAATCATAAACCTTGATACAAGTGAATACAAAAGCAATGACCTTGACAAGCTCAAGCACAAAGTTAAGCTATCAAAATAACACAGATTTACCATTTATCTACTTTTAATTAATAGAACCAATAGCAGGTTCATCCAACTCTGTACACCCCCCCCCCCAAAAAAAGGTTCAAAAAGTCCTTATCTACTTGCATGGTTGTGGAATAGAAATCAATATAAGATATATAATTATAAATGTAAATCAATTAGATAATTAAATACATTAGAATGATTTGCTTTAGAAAACCACACCCACTTTCTCTGTCCTTGGCACTATTATTGCAATCTCACTGTGTTTGCCTACTTTCACTCAGTTAACAAGATCACGCAATCCTTTCTTTACTGTCATGCCAACTTCCTCAGGAAGAGGTGAAAGAGCTTCCGGCAAGAAAAGGAAAACTAACACCTATAGAGCTCAATATCGGTGCCTCAACAAGCTCACACGAAGTTCAATTAGCTAAGTCATAATATTGGCACATCAACAAGCATATTTTAGAGATATGCGTCCCATTTCCAGTTCAGAAATCTGTCTTACCAATCTAGATATTTTATGTGCCAGAACTTGCTTTTTGCACCCACACTTGTTTCTGAAAATTTATTTAAAAAATAAAAACAGTATTAACCTTGGATGTAACTATTAGACAAAAGAGGAATGTGCAGAGTAAGGTGTCATGCATGCAACTTATATACCTCATGTGAACCATAAACAGACGCACTGCTTCTTCTAGGATGCTTCCCTTCACTTGAATTAGAATAGCCATCAGCATCCTTCATCCCATGCGTTGGTCCACGGCGACCAAGATGCTTACTGAACCCTGAATGTCAAATAAGCATTGAAATTGAGGCACACATAATATAAAGAAATAAATGCAAGCATGGGCATGAATGACGTCAGTCAGCAAAACAACATCAAAGATCTACCATTCCAAAACCAGAAACTAACCATTTTCTGATGACTGACTGGGACGCGCATTTCCAAGAATTTTTATATCCCCTCTTTTTGCATCTGACATGTCATGTTTAGACTCTGTGTGACTTCCTATATCATATGCAATCCATGAATAAACTTTTAAACCTCAGATCAGGATGAAAAGCGCACGAGCAAGTAGAAAGAGGTTTTCCAGAACAATTCAGCCATCAATATAGCAGATATACATTTTAGCTAAAATGACTTTTTTGTCCCCCTCCCCTTTCCACATTCACAGGATTAATTCACAAGCACTTACAAAAGCAAAGGAAACTCGGTACCTTTGGTAGAATCTACTTGTGAGGTTGCAGACAATGGCAAGAAGTCATCATTTCCATTAGAAAAAGATGACCATATGCCACGATCATGCCTGTCCTTGTTTCTGGAATGACTCCCCTGCCTCTCACTAGAAACATGCATATCATTCGCACTAATCCTATCTTCTGGAGCCCCATTTGAACCCTTTGTAATCAATTGCACATGTGAGGGACGAGGTGCCCGTTTTTCCTTCTCCAAAATGGATGCTGGAATTTGCTGCTCAGAGTGGGGCCTGGATGACTGGCTTTGACGTAATTCCTTGTTTGAGAGTATGCGTCTAATTATTCTTCCACTACCTTCCTGGCGCTGGTTCTGCTTTGAAGTGGTTAAGCCAGAAGCTGCCTTAGCTGAAGCTAAATTGTGCATCTGTGACATGCTATCGGAATCAGACACCTGCACAATAAGTTAACCACAAGAAACATCAGACTCTGAGCAGGACTTAAGTTAAAAGTGATCCCACAAAATCAGGCAGCTTTGGATAGCGCAAAACCTAAACTCAATCATAAATTACTGGGTTACCATATCATCTAAATATATACGCTAAGAAAACATACAAGCATTGATGCTATTCATCATGATTGCTATAGCATTGAGTCAGCAGACAACATAAACTAAACCCTCACAGTCCCTTTAGTAAAGTGTATTCATTATGCACCATGAATTATTTTGGATCAAAGATAGAGAACAAGATCTTCTGACATACCAATATTACAAGTACTTCCTCTATTGAACACAACCTTTGTCATTCCCAACTATTCATATGTGATGGTACACGAGAAACCAATATCATATAATGCAGAGTATGTCATTATTAAAAGAGTAAGGTTAAGTTCAACAAAAGTGTATACCAGTTCCACTAACAGTGAACCAGAGAGAACAATATTTATGGTTTTAAGGATTGCATGTAATTGATTAAAAATGCGTCACTCGTAATATGAATTAAGTAACTTTCCAATTGTAAAGTGATCAATCTGGAAAACAAATAAAGCAGAATACACAATCAATTGATGCAAACTAAACGGTCTGTAATTAAACATCAACATTAAAGCTACCAATGTAAAGAAGCATGATTTTCGACAAAAACAAAAGGGATAAAGGAAGTCCCTTAATAAGTTTTGCTTCACTCTCCAAAGAGTAACAAATCAAAATAACACTCCAATTAGCATAGAAATAATGAATACAATCCAATGTCTTTCTATTTCTACATGTGGCCTTTCAAAAGAAAATGGAAGTATACTGCAGCTTCTCACATGTCAAGTATCCATTTAAGTTTACCTAAGCATAGAGATTTAAAATCAATCCCTTTATGATGCACCCAGTACAGCAATACATAGAACTAGCCATTGGATTACAAAGAGGGTAATTCAGAATCTCACAGTAATTGTCTCCCTTTTTTTCCCTTTAAGAAGCAGGATTTTCTTCTTCCCAGAATCATTAGGTCCGGCAACTCCTGAGAAAAAGGAGAAAGTGAAACAAATTTCCATTAAAAGTAACAGAAGTTTCAGTAAAATAATCGACAAGTCACACAAAGAACTCCATGTATATATTGAGAAAAATCATTATTATGTCAGGGTCATTTTGCTTATGTATTTCCTAAAGTCTCCAATACCATGTTTCATATGCTAACAGAACTACGAATTTCAAAAATGGAAGAGTTCAAGCAGAGTTGAAGGTGACAAGATAATCAAATCAAATCCTTTATAATGGTCATTGTTAATCTGACAATGATTATAGGAGAAGGACTATGACAGAAAACATGACTATCATAATGGTCAATTTTAAAAAGTAAGGAGTAGAAAAGGAGAAGGTTGGCAACAGGCATGATCTGTGGTAGTTATTATTATTATTATTATTATTATTATTATTAATAGCCCATCGCAGTTCAGATTGTTCCCTACTTTAGAAACTCATGATCATAGTAACCCACATCTTAACGGGAGAGGAAGCTGTTAAGGAAACTCTTATGTGTTCGCCAACAAGCCTCAAAACATAACAATAGCCCCATTGAATTATGATACAATTTGGGAACTTTGGATTCAACCATACCACTCTCATCTTCCAATGCTTGATTTCCATCACCAGTGGCTGTAACTGTAATTCTATCAGAAAGATGTTGATCACCTTGCTTTGGAACAAGAACGTAAGTTGATTTGTCTTTTACAGTAGCACTTTTACCAGGGTCTCTTATAACATACTGTCCATCATACAAGAAAAAAATTAAGACGAGACAGGACATGCATGGTATAAAAAAGGCAAAGATTTCTTTCGGGATAAAAATATTACTAATGACCTTTACCCCAAAAAAAAAAAATACTGATGATAATTGATAATAATAATACCATAAAACAAAAAATAGTACACACAAGATCATCCATTCACAAAAGTTCTGAAAAAAAAAAAAAGAGGAGGAGGAGGAGGAGGAGAATAGAACAACCGAGAAACTAACTCAAAAAGTATTCCAATCCCTTTTAAGTTCCACACGATAAACATTCCAGTGCCTGAACAAAACTAGATAGAAGTTTCAGTACAACTTGACAACTAAAGCTACAGGCCCTCTGACACAACCTAATAATTAATTGAAGTTTGCCCAAGCTAGTGAATCCAAACACTAAATTTCACATTCTGCATGAAAAGGACATTTTTCTGTTGCATTTTTTAACATATTAAAGTTTAAAGCATCATACCATTGTGGTGGAAACCCTTTTCTTCCCAGAGCCTCGTCTTAATGAACCAGAACTAGGACTTCCACTTGATGATGCACCGACCCTTCTGCTCACTTTTCCATTAGACACTGATCTCTGGACAAATACGAAACATACGAAAAGGGCATAAATGACAGAGCTGTGTCACACAACTGCACACAAAATGACAACCAAATAAGTTTATTTGAAACTTCCTAAATTTGTTTATGAGCAGAGATACCCGTGATCCCTTGGCAGCTCTTCTCTGACGCACAAAGTCCATCAATGGTGTAACTATAGGAATGTCTTTTGTACCACTTCCTAACGAACAGAGACCAGATAAATGATGAACGTTTATGCATCCTCTTATTTTTAAATCTATCACAAATACTTGTATTAGTAAACAAACCAGATCGTTCTGCTTCCTTTCTCTCCAACTGTATCTCAGCACTAGGAAGATTCTCAATGGGCTTGGCAAGAACTTCAAGAAACTCCAGATACTCAGAATCTGATTTTTCACCATGGAAACGCTTCTATTTATCAGAAGGAAATGATTCTATTCATAAAAATTAAGTTATAGAACACCTATCAATGTAAAGGACTTCATTCTTTGTCAGCAGTACCTTTGTATATGGTTCCTTCACGGCCATCCTTTTTTGACACCTGCTTTGGAACACGTTGAGAAGGAGCATATTCAACAATGACTTTGAACTGAGTTCCTGATACAGAAAAAACCAGAATTATAGAGAACCTGATTCAATATCTAGCCTCAACTTTCAAGGCTTCTCATTCAAGAAAATGTACAATGCACGACAAAAAATATAAGTCCAACTTGGTGTCTTGAATAGACATAAATTTTTCTAGTTCAAAGCAACCAAGGAGAAGTTATTTTCTAGATCCATCAAAAAATTAAAACACAACACAAGAGGCATCCCCGTTCTGAGAATTGAAACTGGGATTACCAGATTGCATCCCCTTTGGAGTGGAAGAAAGGAATTTTATTCCAGCTTTAGATTTTTAATTTATATAAATAATAAAACATAAAAATAAAGGTTTTAAATGCACTAATGGTCCTGATAGAAACTTAGGCGAGAAAAGTAAATGTGCCTAATATGCCTCATCAAAAGATCTGATTAATTACCCTTCTCATTCACAAAGATATGCCCATCAAAGAACTCTGCAAACTCTACAACATCCTCTGGCTTCTTGAAGTCAATGTAGGCTCTAGAATAAGATAGATTCTTCTGGCTGAAAGTTCACTCAAAAAATAAAAAAGTTATAAGAATGCCTTGACATCTATTAACAATCAATTATGTGATTGGTAAGGCTTCATCCATTAATTATTACTCATATAACAGCATCGAGCCTTTAAAAGCAAAAAAGGCCCCATAATTAGAGGCGTAAATAATCCACCCTATTTGTGAGCAAAGTGGGTGCAGCTCCTTCAATGCTTGAATTTGGGCATATATGGTGATTTAGCAGACGCAATACACCTGACCACGAAAAAGACAATATCTCCGGTCGTAAAACCGATATCAATTGTTGTCTTTATGTCTTTACAAACCATACAAAGACAGCATTATCCGTTTCCAGCAATCTACTTTACTTTCGTCATTAGAGTTACCGTCATACTGTTATGCCGAAAATGCAAGAAAGACAAATGACAGACAATAAGACAATTTCCAAGTGTAATTACCCAATTATTTTCATCATCACTGGACTCTACGTAAATATTAACCAAAAAAATCCACACAACACCTTGGGCAGCCATTGCTATAGCCCTTAACCAACCAACTTTCAATAATATGAAGCATCAGTGGCAAAGTTCACAGACTAATAAACCTATAAGAAAAAGAAATGAAAAAGAAAAGGTGCATTGCACCCACCAAAGACTTTCACTGATTCGATGATAACAAATTCAGTAACGTCAATTCAAAAAATATGTGAAGACCTAAATTCGATTTTCAATAAAACCCAGAAGAAATAAATAAAAACATAAAAAAAAGATAAATCCTTGCAAGTTACAACGCTAATAAAACACAAACCTAAACCCGGTTTTGCCAGGACGAAAGGAAACCCAATTGTAGCGCCCAGCGAAGGAGCCATCGATTTGGTCCAGCAGCGCAGCCATAGAAATGGTCGGAGGCAAGTGCCGCAGCACGACCTTCGTCCGATCCAACGCACCCTTCATGCGAACCCAAAAAAAAAATCCCACGAAAACGAAAAACCCTAGCAGTCGACAGTCACCAAAACGATGAAAAAGGGAAGAAAAGCCGAAAACCTCAGTGAAATTACATCTTCTCCGCTGCTTCTAGGCATCAATCAGGGGAGTCCCAATGCCCTAATTTGGTTGAAAAACCCCAAATTGCCATGAGGAAAGGACAGAGAGTTCAGGCCAAAGGGTAGTTGCGAGTGAAAGCATATACGGTTGCGTTTTGAGCTTTCCGTTTTGCATGCGACCATACGAGGTGGCCTTTTTGTCAAACCAGACTACGTAACTCCTGTGTTGTGTTTTCACTACAAATAATAGCTAAAGAATTTTGCTGGTCAAGAAAATGACTTAAAACTGTTTTTACTAACTTAAAACTTTTAAAAGTGGTCATATTTACGTTTTAATATTTATTTAAATTTAAATTCTGATAAAATTAAATTGAAAGGGAAATTTACTCATGACTCAATATAAATACGTACAAGAAATATTGAAAGAATTAAAAAAAAGTGTTGAGCCAAAATAGTCACATAAATTCATATTTTATATCAGACTTAATTTTAATATTTTCTTACCAATTTATTATGAATATTAATATTAATATTGCTTTTATGATTAGTATATATTAATATTGGCAAAATATAAAATATAAATATATTATAATGAAATTAAATTTGACAGTAAAAAATATCAGTATTATTATATAATTCCAACTAAATTGAACTCTTTTTTACCTATTTGAGAAGAATTAAATATAAACACCTCTCTTAATAATTAATTAAACTTTATTAGAGAGATAACCCCCTCTAAATTCTATAATAAAATAATATTCTCTCCATTTGAAAATGTAAGGCATTTTTTGAAAGGTGGGTATTTAAAAATATAAGATATTTTTAATCTTTTAAAGTGTAATTATTTTTTTTCAAAATGTCTCTATTAAATAAATAACTTTATATTTATTTTAGGATAAAATACTCTATTAAATAGGGTTAAATATGAAAAGATGGGGTTAGTTTGAAAATAAGTAACTATTTTATTATAGTAAAATTTGATTAAAAATATCTTATATTTTTTAATCAAGAAAATAATTATAATTATAATACTTCTAATTAGAATATCACTTGGCACAACTTTTGCGTGTATTGCCTACTCTGTGTGTCATCCACTCTTGTCTCGCATAATTATATAATAAAGAGATGCTTAATTACAATAATTTTTCAAAGACTCGATTTTTAAATATCAGAATTGTTGAAATAATTTTACTAAATAAAAATTATTCACTTCAGTGTTCAAGAATTTATAAGTTACTAAATCAGACAAAAATTGTGTAATGCACAGTGAAAATAATTAAAAAAAAAAAGACGCTAGACAATTCAGTAGCTTAAATTTTATTTAGTAAAAGATAAGATTCATTTGACTTAAATTTTATATAAATGTAATTGTAAATTTTGTCACATTTTGTAGTATTTATTTGTATTATCTCTAAAATCCTTATTTTTAAGTTAGTGAAAATAAGGATAACTATCGAAAAGAAATGTAAGCTTAAATATTTGGAGTGTGAAGAAAATAAATTATTATCCTGAAATATTTAATGAAAATAAAAATTTTAATTTTTGAGTGATACTATCACACCTCACATGTAGTCGAAAGTTAGAAGCAATGTTTTTTTTTTTTTTTTGAGCAAAAATTAGAAGCAATGTTTTAAAAGTTGAAAGATGGTCAACCAAAAAGCTTAGCGGGCCTCTAGTTTTATGATCTAACGTTGTTAAAATAGAACACCAAATTCTTATAATATATATATATATATATAACACCAAATATTTGATGTAATAATTAAATAAAAATAATAATATACTTAATTATTAATAACATTTAATTATAGATGATTTTTTTAAATCATACATGAATGAGCTCAAAAGCATCTACATTTGCATTTATAACCATAAACGTTTACCAAAAAATGGGCAAAACATATATACTTAACCTTATATATTTAATATACTTTTAACAAATCAAAGTAAGACAATTGGATTTTAATGTATTAATAATATTAATAATAAAAATTTGTTATGAAATAAATAATTTATAAAAAAATCTATATGTTTTGATTCAAATGGAAACAGGCACATTAAACATATCATGGTTAAGTATATATTTTTTCTGTTAAAAAATATAAAACATTTTTAATTGAAGTTCACATTTAATAAAGTAGTTACCTACTTTTAAATTAATCTTATATTTTTATATCTACTCCTATCAAACACTTTGCAATAAATATAAAGTCATTTATTAATGGGGGTACTTAAAAAAAAGTAATTATTACACCTCAAAAGATTAAAAATGCCTTACATTTTTGAATATCCAACCTCACAAAAAATACTTTATATTTTTAAATGAAGGGAGTAAGTTTTTACCTTTTTTTAATTTTTCTAATTTTTTTTAAAAATAGCTTTTTTATAGTATGTTTAAACGTGTCCAATTTTTTAAAAATAGTTTTAATGTCTAATTCAACTCAATTCAATCATAAAAATAATTTTTTATTCAAATCGAGTCATTAATGACTTTAGTTAACAATACAATTGTCCGATCTAATCTCATTCTTAAAAAAGTGGTTGCAAGTTTGATTTGCTTGTAAATTTAAGTTATTAGAGTTATTTCTTTCCTCTTAATATTTGGGGGAGATAATTTTTGCTATTGGCTAAGCCTATTCTTCGTGCTATAAGGAAATTTTAAAAAAAATTCTGACTCCTTATACTTTTTTTTTTGAGCCAAAAATACTCCTTAAACTTAACAAAAAAATAAAGAAAAGAACCATCCCATCCCTTTTAAATGAGAAAATAGAAAATGAGAAGGGAATTATTATTAATTTTTTTAATTGAGAAAGGAATTAGAATCTCCGCATTAGAATATTCGGTTGTTTTATACGTGGAAGTCAAATCCTTTGTGCTCAGTTTTATTCCATCATTGTCGTTTTATTTCACACGCGCAGTCATTAAAATATATATATATATATATATATATATATATATAACACATACAGTTAAATCAAATCAAACATGGGGGAAAAAATAACTAATTCGCCTGTAATTCTCGCCTTCTTGCTTGGAAATGGTAAATTCTTAAGAGAGGAACTAGAGACATCCCGTACCAAATAAAAATCTGTAGTAATAATATCTTGGGAAAATCATAAATAAAGACTTCCAATTATTATAAATAACCAATCAAGACCACAAAATTGTGAAATTTCATTCTAGGACTGGTGTCGCCCTTTTTTTGTAATTTTAAAAATAATAATTTGACAAAAATGCCCCTATTTGGTGATTGAACTTGGAAGTGGAAGTAGACAGTTTTTCAACTCAAACAAAGAAATTTCACAACCGTCTTCAAATAAAATTCCAAGACAATAAAGGAAGAGCCTTAATAAATGAAAGGAGGAGGCATCTTTTACCCACTATCAAAGGTTTTGAATCAAAATTTTCAGATGGATAGGGTAGTGTATTTGTACATCTAACACATAATTTAAATATGAAAATTTTTTCTTAAAAAAAGGAAATATTAAATGAATTGATCATAAATTATAAAATTTTATGATTTTTGCCTTCTCTAAGGAAGAGATTAATTGTAGGGAAAATGGAATTTCCACACTAACGGCAAGCCCCTCTGATATTATTTGAGAATACAAATTCTCAATGTACCCTCAAAATGAATTTTTGTTAAAATCATTAACAAAAATAATCAAATGATTTTGTTGATACATTCAAGTAATTAAACATTTTACAATCAGTAAACTAGATTTATTGTCATAACCTAGATTTTACACCAAAATAAAACTATTTAAACCATGATTATAAGTAAGTGCATAAATATACTCCTGAAAAATAAGTGGGTATAAGGAGTCATGTTGACAAAATCTATCTAGTTCTAAATATACTTGAAATTCCTTCTTCTTCTTCTTCTCTTGTTGAGAGTTCAAGGTGTATTGGGTCATTGGTCATTGTTTGGGGCTTGCAGATATGTTCTGGGCTTATATGTTAAATGGCCGTGCATGTGCCTCCGTTTTTATTCTTTTGTTTTGTTTCTTGCTTGGTTTTTGCTGGCTATTCAAAAGCCCGTAAGAGACTTAGAGAATGATGATGAGATACAATGAGACACAACGCTGTGATCAAGCCCGAACATGGCAAATTGTTCTGAAATGAGTTATTCCATTTGAGTGTGTTTTTTTTTTTTTAACAAGTGTTTTAGTTCTAGTGAATTTTAAGTTGGTCAATTGTAAGGTTGGAAATAAAAATATTTTCAACTTAGAAGAAGTGACTTTATAATCATCTTCAACTAAATTTTCATTCCAATTAAATTTATTTCAACACTAATGAATTTTAAACTGGTCAATTGTAAGTGTGGAAGTAGAAACATCTCCGGCTCAAATAAAAAATAATTTCATAATTGCTTTCAACCAAGTTTTGAACTCAATTAAAATGATTTTAACATTATCAAAATTTAAGTTAGCATTTCAAACAAGGGCATTCTAGTCAAATTATTATTTTTAGAACTATAAAAAGAGAATGGTCCTGAAATGTAGTTTCATAATTTTGTGGTCATGGTTATTTATTTGTGATACTCAGAGATCCTATTATTTGTTATTTTCCCTAATATCTCCCTGGATGCTAATAAGCAATTAAGTTTACAAAAATCAATTTCCAATTTATTATGCAATATATTACAGATCAGTGATGAGAAATTTAGATAATTCTTGTGAAATTTTAAAATCAATCTATATGTATATGTTGTGGGAGAAAATCAGAAAATGAATTTTAATTTATCATACAATCTTTCTTTGTACCTGTATAAAGATCTTGAATTTTTCACTTTAAACTTTGTAGGAAAAAATTCATTAAACTTTCCAACCAAACTTTTTTCATAGTCGACTCTTAAAATTTTGAAATATCAATTCAGCTCCAGTGCCAATTTGGGCAAAATTAAAATTAAGTTTTTGAAAAAATGACACAAATAACCCCAATACTCTATGTCAGTTGTTTATTTTTTGTATAGCACTTATTTATTTTTCATATATGAGTTGTTCATGTGCATAACTTCATTTATATTGTATTCATGATGATGTTATGTTATTGATGAGAATTGCAAATTTTACCCACGTTAATCATTCGTTTTTCATACATAAATCATTTTTTTTTTTGCACGAGTTGTTCATGCACTTAATTTTACTTATCTTTATTTATAATGGTGTTATA